ATTGATAGAAATTATAAAGGGTAAGATAAGTTCTCTCCATTTCAATTCATTTGATCTTATTTTGGAAAAATGTAAAAGTACCCCCCTCAACTATACGCGAAATCCCAACGACACACTTTAACTATACATGAGTCCTATTATCCCCTTTGAATTATTTTTAAGTGTAATAAATGCACCATTAACACAACCTAAAACCTGTATAGCCACTCACATGATGGGAGGTGTTTTACACTCGTCTCCAAGTCATCATTATGTCAGCGCCACATCAATAAATGATCAGATCTATCAAAAAAAAATTCCATGTCATTTGATTCATTCTTCTTCATTATCAACACTCATTCCATAACCACTAAACCCACTTATTTTAACCATTAAAACTCTTAACAATCACCATGAAAACTATAACCCACCACCAAATTTATCCCTTCACTACCACCAGATTCAATATCTACTATCAATTTTATTTTTCTTTCAATCCAAATAAATTTCATAAAACATGGTCCAAAATCTCTATTGAAGAAACTACCTAGATTTTGAACTCTAATTCGAGTAGAATTCAAAATTGGGGTCATTTTTTTCTGATTGAATTTGGGTTAAGATAAAGGCTGATTGAAGTGAGAAGGGAAGAGAATGATGGAGGGTGTTATTGATGGAGAACTGAAGCGGCATGGAGGTTGGGTTGGGGTAGGGGTGAGATGTCATATTGTTGGAGAACTGAAGTGGGGTGGGTGGGCAGGAGTGGGGATGTGGGTGGGGCGGGGTGAGGGCCGGGGGTAGGGGTAGGAGTAGGGGTATGACATGGATAATTGAGGAGAGGATGACAGTTAAATTATTTATTTATTAAATTTTTTTTAAAAAAAAAACTCTAATATAAATTATGATCTTTATATGTTGCCTAAATTAAATTCCTAATATGCAATTTTTTCCTCATTAGCGAATTTCAAGTAATGTATTTGAGTAAAAAATGAAAAAGAAAAAAATTCTCTCGATACTGTACAAATTAATGAAAAACACTGAAAATAATTCTTTGATAATTTAAATATGTTGTGAAAAATGATAAAATTTGACTATATTTCATAAAGAAAAAAAGAAATTTAATTAAAAAAATATCAATTTAAGTTTTAAAGTTGATTAACTATCTCTACTAATTAATTATAAAAATGTTCAATTAAAAATGAACACTTGTCCATATTAATCAGATTTTAATACCTTTTTTTGTATCTCACATGCCTCTAAAAGAGTGAACACACTCGTTGTGCCACCTCAACACGAAAGGGTGCGTTTATTACACTTTAAAATAATTCAAAGGGTAATAGGTCGCATGTATAGTTAAGGTGAATTGTTCGAATTTTGCGTATAGTTGAAGGAGGTACTTGTGCATTTTCCCATCTTATTTTAGTCCGTTTTAAAAAGATTATCTCTTTTCTATTTCAATCGTTTTTTTAAATTTAATTTTCTACATAGCATTTTAAGACCACAAGATTAAATAAAATTTAGATACATTTAATATATCTTTAATTTAAGAACATAAAATTCAAAATCTTTGTTTTTTTTAATTTGTGTAAAAAATCAAAATATTTCAAACAATTGGAAAGCAGGGTAAATATAAATTGATTAAAATTTGGAGGAGAAATTTGATTTTAGGCATCTCCAACCATATTATCTATTTTACTCTCTAAATATTGAGTTATCTATGTTTGGAGAGAATCAACTACAACTCAATTCTTTATTTTACTCTCTAAAAATGAATCTTCTTCCCTCTCCTCAACATTATATTATTATTTTTAGCGGAAATGATAGTTTTAGTTCCTGTATTATTAGCTTATATTTAATTAAAGGTTAAATATATTTAGACTAATAATACAAGGATCAAAAAACCATAATATGATAATAACACAGTGTCTATAACTGTCATTTCCCCTTATTTCTATTTCATTTTTTAATTTTCTTATTTCATAATATAAATCTTTTCTTCTTTTTTCCAAATAATACCCTATATAATCTTCATGTAATATAGAATTTTATTCTAAATTTTTAAATAACATAAATTGCAACTAAATATCATATATTATAGTACATATTAATAGACAATTCAAATAAAAGTGAAATCATTATTGAAATATATAATACATAAGCATTACATAAATACTTAATCTTCAAGATTATTACGTCACTCCCATAAATGCTCTACTAATGCGTTACAAAGATCAAAATGAGCAATTTTGTATTTGAATTATTATGTTATGTATTGTATTTTAGAATTAAAAATTTCATCTTATCATTTAAATTTTGTGCAATCGTCATAGTGAAAATAATAATAATAACTTTAAATCATATTACTTAAAGTGTCGAAAATAAAAATAAAATTGAAATATTATTAATTTGGAATGAAAGTAGTATATATTAAATAATATATTTTTTAAAATGTTATATTACATTAAAAAGGTATTAATAGTAGAGATTTAATTAATGTTCTTATATAATTTATAATATTTTAACTACAAATATTATATAATAGAAATAATAATAAAATAATCAAAAGGTAAAATAAAGAGTCCAAATTTGGAGAAGTACTATTCACTTCTCTATAAATGGAGAACAAAGATTGATATAGAGGGTAGTTGAAAAAGGCATTCTCTATTTTACTTTCCAAATATAGAGAAAAAAAATAAAAATAAAGGTGGATTACAGAGACATGAAGCCCCTCAAAAAGGGAAAACTACGTAAATGGGCCATAAAATTCAAAATAATTACAAGTTCATACCCAAATTCAAAGTAAATCTGAATTATCCATTCTCTCATAAATAATTACAGTCCATACCCCCATTCATTAATGGTGATAATTTTCGCCTAACTGATATTAAATTAGTATCATATATTGTATTGATATAATTAAGGTTGATAATTTCGCTTAACTGATACTAAATCAGTATATATATACCGTATTGGTATCATTAAGTTTTCTTATTCACAAATTACTTATTAGTCAATGATACTATAAGAGTATATATATATATTGTTGTGGCATCATTAATGTTTCTTGTTCAGAAATTACTCATTAGTCAATGATACTATAAGAGTGTATGTGCGTGTGTGTATATATATATACATATGGTATCATTAAGGTTTCTTGTTCAAAAATTATTTATTAGTCAATGATACTATAAGAGTATATATATACTCTTATAATATCATTGCCTAATGAGTAATTTCTTAACAAGAAACCTTAATGATACTAATGCAATATATATAGGAAAAATCACCTAACTACACACCATTTATTATCATATTTTTCCTACCATTTCAAAAAATATCAAAATCCCCTCTTTTGCTCCCATCATCCCCTTTTCTGGTTACATTAATTTGAAATCTCATACCCATGATTTTCTTTCCTTTTTTCAAGCCACAAATCTCTCTACAGTTACCTACATTAATCCACTTTTGAATTTCAAATCTTTTCTCTTTCCAATTAATGATTTCAAGTTATTCAAGAGGTAAATTTCTTTCCATCACTTTAATTTTTAATTTCTTTAAAAAAAAACAATTTTTTCATCTTAAAAATTAAAATAAAATAAAATAATTGTGATTGATTAAGCATAGACAAATTGATCTCCTAAACACATATATGACGAGGAGATATGGGCATATAACTGTAATTGCTAACATAATGCCAAACTAAGCTTTTTGTTGTCAGTTTTTCATATGTTTATTGATATCATCAATCTTATGACATAACTCTCAGTCTCTTTACTTGAAGAGAGGTGGAAAACGTTGCTAATGCAGAGAGTTCATTTTAGAGTGTATTTGGAATTGTTCCAGGAATTTCTAATGGCGGTCTTGATACACTTCATCCCATTGGTTCGATCTTTCAATATTGGGCTTACCCAATTAGTTCGAGAAGGATACATCTTCGTTATTTTCCGTTGATTAGATTATTGACTTTTTTTTCCTGATTTTTTGGTTGTTCATCTATTCTGATAAATATAGGTTCAGATTTTTAATGTATCTAGTTGATTTTGTTTCTTAAACTAATGTATACTGCATTCGTTTCAACATTATGATACATTACAATTATATCATGCACAATGTATCGTGTTCAAATATTAGTTTTGATACATAACCTTAATTAGTATTGATACTTGATACAAAAATTCTACCAAATGTATCATTTATCATATATCAACCTTTTCATCTACAAATTCCTGATATATATAGATTCTGCTCTCAAGCAAAATAAGTTACATAAATAATAATGTATCATGCACTAATTTTTTAGACATGATACGTAAATTCGAATTTATACTAAATGTATCTGGATGGTGACTTATATATCCAAAAGGTACAAATTTTAAGGGATTATTGTAATTAGAAAAAGAGTAGGGATAAAATGTAATTTACTCTTTACATTATGAGATTTATGTAAGTTATACATACATACATATATATATATATATATATATATATATATATGTATTATTTTAGTATCAATTCAGCGAAATTATCAGCCTTAATGATACCAATATAGTATATGATATTGATTATCAGTTAAGCGAAATTATCCACCTTAATGATACCAATATAATATATGATACTGTAGTATCAGTTAAGCGAATTTAGTAAAGGATATATAGTGTAATTATTTAGTGGGTATGAATGTAAAGAAATATATGTTTGTAATTATTTTACTTTTATGGGGTATTTACTTATTTTTCCCTAAAAAACCATGAAACAAACGGGGCGACCAGGATGGATTTGGGGAAAAGAAAAGAAGCTTCCGATTGATAACCTATAAAAAGTCAAAAAACACATCCTTTGAATAATATTTATTTAACGGAGAAGAAGATGTATAGTAATAATAAGAATAAAAAAACACATCCTTTGAATAATATTTATTTAACGGAGAAGAAGATGTATATAGTAATAATAAGAATAAAAAAACACATCCTTTGAATACTATTTATTTAACGGAGAAGAAGATGTAGTAATAATAAGAATAAAAAAACACAAAGGAGAAATTCCGATAAGATTACCGAATCCACATTCTGAAAATCTATAAATTGCCATTCTTACAAAATTTCCATTGTTTTTCCAGAATATTGGGAATCGCCAATTCTGCTGTATATTACCCAATTTGTTTCATCCTACCTACACTGGTAAGAATTGTTTTTCTTTAATTTCTGGTTTTTAATTTGTTTCGATGTTTGAAAATCAGTTTCTTATGAAGGTGGTGGAATCCAAATTATGGATATGGAAATTAGGGTAAATTTGATGTATAAATAAGCTTAATTGACTTTTTAGTTGATGAAATTTGGTTATTTGCTTGGTGTTTGAGAATCTGAGTATTGATGAATTTATGGATTGGGATTTCTTTTATTTTTTGAACCCCTAAGTATTGAAGGATGGGTGATTGATAGTGCTTGATATTTTAGGCATAGATTGAAGTAAATTATTTGAAAGTTACTTATTGTAATCAGTTCAGCTCATGAATTTTGTTTGATTTGTGTAATTTGGGGGCTTGAGAGTTAAGCATTTGTTTTATACTGTAGGATTGGTATGAATATTTGGTTTTGATTTTGGAGTGCAGCTATGCAGAGTCAGTTGGTGTGCAGTGGGTGTAGGACAATTCTTCTTTATCCCAGAGGAGCTACTAATGTCTGTTGTGCAGTGTGCAATGCTCTCACCCCTGTCCCGCCTCCTGGTATCTGTCCTTTCTGCTCTATTATCGATGATTTGTATAGAAGTACACAACACAAGTTTATTTGACACTTGGGCTGAGTCTGTGCCTTTTCTTTTGATACTATTCAATTTCTGTTTCATTTGGTGGTGATAGTTGGTGCTAGCCAAATGCCAATGATGAAAACGGGGAAAAGAAGAACAAAGAGTGATATCTCAAAACTATAAGTTCATCTTTGGAATTTGATTAACTTCTCTATAGAAACATGGGTAGAAAATATCATACGAGCTGACATGCACAATTGCTCGTGGATGAAGTTGGTGGTGGAATCCCCTTGTGTCTTTCCCCCTCTCTCACCCAGGGAAAAAGAAAACAGTGTTTTTGGAGTTCAAGCTAATGCCTTATTGAGTGCTAACTTGTTTCTTAAAATACTAGCCAGAAAACAAGAAATCTAGTATGCTAAGAGATTTGTTAGTAAGGAAGATGTTCAAACATAAAGAGAAATGCCTAAACTAGAGACTGGGGCGAACCCCTTAGTTAAACACTTATTTCCCAAGAGGAATAGGGTAATGTTGCTGAAAATTCCTCTTTTCTCTTCTTTGAGTTCTACATCAAGAAAGTGGGAGAAGAAGAATGTGAACTTAGGTAGGAAAATTTCAATGGATTTACAATCTGCACCACTTATCTTCTCTTTCCTTCGAGCTAAGACCCATCTCAGGGTTTTTATGTAAATATCACTCCCCAATAAGGAGGAGTATGGCACACATCTGTTAACTTGCACTAAGAAGGCCACACAGACTTTTCTACCTATTTCAATGCATACAGTTACATAACTATAACACGAACATTTGGAAAATGTATGACTAAAACTTATGGCTTAATAACCTCTTCATAGCGGAAACCAAAGATAGGATACATAGCCAAAACATAACATAAAACTGAATCATCATCATGAACACGAGGAAGCAATATAATGAATCCCTTTTTATGCATCTGTACCTCTCACAGGAAGTATCATGGAACCTTTATGAATATACATGAGCATTTGACATGAGACATGTCACTGCTCAACAAAAGAATAAGGATCTATACTAGCTCCCACAGATGATAGAGATAGGTTCATCAAAATAGAAAAACTAAAGAGATGGCACCTAGCTCGTACCGTCAGCTGTCACAGTATTTGCAACATACTACAAAAACAACAATGCCCGTGGGAGCTAGGTAAATTGTACCATCTAGATATTTTTTACTCTTCCTGATAAGGTTGAAATGATACTTTAAAACACGGTAATGCATTAATAGCAAAATAACTTAAAGCATTTCATAAAGATCCATTTATGGAAAGCAATAAACATTTGAAAGTTGTACTAATAAAATTCTAATATAACTAAACACAATATTTCTTTAACTGGGCAGTCATAGCATATATGCCACGTGGACATCATGACGGACGACTGACACCCGGTCGCAAGGCTGTCTCACCATAATGTCGTATTGGTTCAACGATAAGTGCAAGCACAAAAAATACTTCCTTTTAGAATAATGTGAGCAGCCGCCCTTAAAATGGCATGAATAGCATGAGTAGTTTCTAGATAAATGTTTCCACCCCAGGGAATGAATACCCTCTCAGTTTCTAATGTAACTTAAATATGTAACTTAAACATGTAACCATCTTAAGGTCCTGTAATCATTCAAATTTTGGCATGTTTAGCTCATGAGTCATTTAAGACTAGTTGTAATATAAAACTTCAATTTAGATATTTGAACTTGAAAATAAATCACATATTTGAAATCAAGTAAAGCATGCAAGCACGAGTCTTTAACATAAACATGTTCATCATGTTCATAAGGAAATCACAAGTCATGTAGAAACTTGTTATAAATGCTATTTTCCGTAAGTCATTTCTAGCCAGCATAAGGTATAAAATGTACATAACATATAAGCTAGCATAAGTCACTCAAAGCATGGTTAGTATGCCTCGCTTGCGCCTATGAACTCATACTAACCGGTCAAACATTTTTCATGAATTTGGAAGTCATGCATTTTTAATAAAATGCCTTAAAGGGAGGTACATCTTAAATTACCTCGTCTATGTGAATAAATAAAAATACCCATGTAGGGTTCATATATTTCTTCTTCTATTATTCTGTTAGTTCATATTTAAATGATCTACCATATGATAGTTCCTAATCATTGGGGTTAATGGGATACTCAATTCATTCCCTAGCCCTGATTTACTATTTATTTATTTTCTCCCCTGGATATTATCTTTTCAAGAATACCTGTTTCCAGAGTTCACTTAATCCACAATTCAAATGGTGTTTCCAACTTCTAAATAGCTTCATTATATGATATATTTATCATGGTGGAAGGAAAAAAGCAAGAAATTATCTCTTGAAGAAACCCTAGAAATTTTCAAGTTCTTGATGAACCTTGAGTTTTTGGTGAATTTTAATCCATATAAGTGTTACATGTAATAAATAGACGAGATCTATCATAAATGAATTAATGCCGTACCTTGATGTAGCATTAATGGTGAAGCCCTTCCTCTTCAAAAATCTGTCAAAACTTCAATAAATGAGTTCCCATAATGAATTCTCAATCTTTTCCCTCACCGAAGTCCTGCCGGGCAAGACCCTTTTCTTTGGCGAAGGCCAGCTTCTAGTCACTTCCTCTCCTTGCAAGAATCCAATTTTTACTAGCTTCTTGCTAAATTTCACCATTAGCTTCTCGTTACTGGTTGTCAATGTTTTGGCTCCTGAATTTTCTTTCACAAAATTTCTCCTCACCTGACATGGGAAAGGTGAGGCCCTCCTTGGATTCTCTCTCTCCTCGCTAAGCAAGCTAACAGGTAGACCTTTCCTTGACACTAGAAATCCTCCTCGCCTGGTGAGCTATGTTGCTTAGACTGTTAAACATGTTGACAATATTGTTGGGTGCATGTCAGATCCTCAAAAGTAGTGCATTTTTGGAGCATCCGACACAGGTTTGGCAAAATTTTGTGAGAGTCCGAGCAACATAGCTGGTGAGCTTGTGGCTTGGATAGTCTCTACTTCTCCCTTCGCTATAGTTTCCCGTTTCCATTTCATTCATGATACCACTTCTCAATTTATCCAAAAAAAATTCTAGCCTTGCTACGTATGAGATATATAATTCCAGCATTCCAGTCTCACTCTGTAGCTTTGTTAACACTTCAAATATATTTTAAACACAACATTAGGGTTGTAATTAACCTGGATTATATGTTAGAAACACACATGACTTTACAATGAAGAAGGGACAACATTTTTTGCTAATTAAAGCTTATTGACTTAATTGAATAGAATATAGACAGTTAGGTCTTAGTGTTTAGAGAGAATTTAAACAATATTTTTTTAATCACTGAGAACTCCTGGTCCAATATCGGTCCACAGATCAAGTGCTTTGGAGTATGACCCAGCCCTCTATCCTGCTTTGACTTAAATAATACCCTCTTTTGTCAGCGAGGCAAAGGCAACTTGTCTGGTCTTGCGCTGCAGTAATTCTGTTATCAGAATGAAATGACCCTATCAAAAGCAGCTTTGAGTGGCTGAAGATTGGTTGAAATGCAGGCCCAAAGCTTTTAGCCTGTTCCATTGGAACATGTTTCAAAAATTTAACCATTTCCTATCAAATGGTCTCTTCCTTTTCATTTGCTTGATCGATGACCCAAATTATAGAGACGAGAACCATTAAAAACTGTGGAATTTACAGAGGAAAAAACTTATCAATTAGAAGATCAGAAAACTAATTACAATCTGAAGTAGACAAAAAAATGATGTAGGAAATTTACGTCATACCATCCACACGCTATCAATTTTCAAATCATAATCAAGCCATAAAATTAACAAGATAACAGCATCCACCATTTAATAGTACAAGCAAACACCATGAAGTCCACAACACATTACGATGTATTACCTTATCTTGCTTTTGTAGTTACCATCCATTAAATAGAAACTATAAATGACGTAGGTGGGGTTGAAAGGCGGCAGTTTTATTAGCTTCTAACTGTGGACAAGTTGAATTTCATTGGTGCACATCTGTCAAATGATAAACATTGATAATTATTAAACCTAGGGTTTGATTTGGTTTTGGTTGGCTAGGAGAATTTAACCATGGGTTTGGTCTGGTAAAGGTCAGTTTCAATTGTTTGGTGATTCTTTTAGGAACTTAGTTAATGAGAAGAACAATTGGGATCTATAAGATTTGAGGGAAAATTGAAATAATTTTGTTTTCCCCTTATTATAACTTTCCTCTGTTGGTCCAGCAAATGCATTTTCCATTATGTTCTTTCCATTAATTTTATGAGGGAACATGTTTTCTCTTGGTTCAATTTGGATAATTGGAAAGTAGTTAAAGAATTTCTTTCTTGAAAGATATGACGTGAAGTGAAGCAAGAAAGGAAAATAATTTTATTGCACGTTTTTTAAAACCAAGGTTGAGAAGAATGTGGTTGTTTAACTTTTTTTTATTAGATCTCTTTTTTCAACACTTACTATTGACAAGTACTTCCCTATAATAAAGTTTTGAGTGAGAGCTTTTCCTTTTTCAAATTTTACGGCAGTGGCATCTGTTCTAGTTTGAGTGCACCTCAACTTTATCTAGCAGGCACCATGTTATAAGCCTATAACCCACAAGGACATCTTCCAGATGATCTTGCTTACTAAGGTTGGAGATAGACGTACATCAATTGTTGTAGCTAGAATTTGGACCATGATTTTCCAGGTTGTTTGTTGCTCGTATATCTCAAACACTCAAGCCATCCCTGTGGACTGGAATAGGAGAAAATTCTCCCTAACCAATGAACGTTTCTTCTCTTTTTTCCATCAATCAAGCAAAATTCCTTACACTACATTATTGGATGGGTAACAGCCATTGTCTTTGGAGCACTATCTTCACTTCTGAAAAATTATTGCATCCCTTCCCAACGAATCCTGAAAGGAGAAAAAAACTGATTTGATTATCACCGTGAGGAACTTTTATCATCTAATTGCCAACAGTCCCAGATGACAAATCTTACTGCTGTTCGCTGCACTATGTATGCCTTCAGCTTATCCATTCTTCTGATGTTGCTTAAATTCTGCCCTCTATGCAGGAATGGAGATGGCTCAACTGATATGTGGAGGCTGTCGCACCTTATTGATGCATCCACGTGGGGCAACTAGCGTGAGATGTGCCTGCTGTCATACAGTGAACCTTGTGCCAGGTACAAATATTGGGACTTCTTCTCTTTAGAAATTATGAAATCACAGTCTAATTAACAGTTTTTTTTGATGAGGTTAGTAATTTTGTGCATTTAGTATCCAGAGCATACTTGCGAAGTACAGCAAAAAGGTATTATCTTCCCTTTCATAAGGAAAATAAAAATAAAGATACAGACTGCATGCAATGAAGTCTTCCGTTTCTGAATTGGAGTGGAAATCCCTTTGAAACATCTGCGTCCTGTCTCCATTATGTCAGTTGGATATAATAGGGATGGTATTCCATATATTCTTACTTTCCTTTCCTGTCTTCAGTTTTTCCAACGTTTGTTTTTTCTTTTACAACATCTATTTTCATATCTTCAATGTCGTTTGGTTTAAGGGATTAGGAAAAATATCTCAGCATAAAATTCACATAAAAATAGTACGGTGTTTGGTTGGAGAGATTAAGAAAATAATCCCAACATAACTAATGCAACTTGGCCCTATAAGAATATCTAATTCACACACAACTAATGCTACATTTAGTTGACAGTATTAAATAATATCTGCAATAAGTTATGCAGGAATCTTTGCTTATTTTACACATGATAGAATATAGAAAAAGAATATGTTTTACACAGGATAGAATATGGAAAAAGAATATGTATTAGCAATACGAGGGTAAAATTACTTAAAGACAAACATGCACTAAAAATAAGTTCTCCCTTCATAAATTCCATGTATTATTGTTCAACATATAAGAATTACTACATTATTATTCACTGCTTAACAATCCCTTCATTATTGTTCACCCCATAACAGTCACTTTGTCATTATTGACCGAATAAACAATGGATTGATTATAATCTCCATATAATTAGTATGTGAATAAAATGAGTTATTTTTTCTGGTACAAGAACCAAACGATCGTAAGTATATTAGTTTATTGACAACTAGTTAAGTGGGTATACTACATGATCTAAAATATATTTCATATGTTAAATAGTCAGTTTATTGGAAACTAGTTAATTGGGTGCACTACATAAAATAAACTTATATTTGATGCTGATAAAGATAAAAACATAAAATGGGAGCAAATTAAATACACTTCTCAGTATCCTCGGATATACTTCCGTACACCTCATGTGTGGGGTTATTTTACTTGACGTCCACAGTCCATCTTCTCCCCAATTAACTGTTACTAGAGGTTTATATGTTGTACTTGTCTCTACCAAATCTTTATAAGCATTTTCCAACAAGTAGACTTTGTCGAAGTTTCTACCACCTAACTCCTTTCATTCACCAGTTCCCCCTCGTTTTATTACTTTTATTTGTGGATATTTGCATATTTCTCTTTACAACAACAATAATTATACTTAAGTCCTAAACACGTTGAGGTCGGCTATATGAATTGTTACAACATATGAACTCATCGCAAGGCAATATTATCCAAAAATAAAATAGTAATAAAAATAAATTAAAAAGTAATAGTCCATTATATTTTCTAGTGACGTATGAATATCTGAAAGGCTAAACAATCCTTGGAAAAACATTGGACGTAAAGTAAAAGTGCTAACATGACTAAAACATATATTCAACTAATAGGTATCACCTATAAATCTTTTCTTTTATTGTGCCCTATCTTTCACTTAGTTTGTAGGAATCCAATTCCCAAGAGATTGTAGATCCTTTGAGACAACTTATTTCCCAGTGATTTTAGGTCTACCTCGTCCCATTTAACGCCTTCACTTACTATTGTTTTGTGCATCTGGTGGTCGACATAAAACATGATCAAACCATTTCAAGAGACCTTTTATTTTGTCCTTGATGTATCCTACTAGAAATTTTTTCGTTAATCTGGTCATTTATGATCTTGTCCATTCTTGTTTGAAAGAACCTCCATCTTAGCATCCACATTTTTGTGACACTCATTTTGTGGATGTGTTGGACTTCAGCTACCCAACGTCACTTCCATATAACATTGTTGGTCTACATATTTTCTCTTTACATAAGATAGTTAAAAATAATAGGAAATGAAGATCTATAAGATTTACATGTCTTCCCGAAAACAATTATAAGATGTCAAATCTATTAGTATAAAGAACTACTGAAAAAACAAAACAAGTTTAATGTACATAATATTGTACAAGTAATCTAGACAACATACTGCTATATGCTTAGGAAATGTGTATTCTATAAATATGTTCTGTCTTCTGTGTTTTTAAATATGTGTTCGTATGTGTGTAATCAATGAATAGATGTTCCAATGTTACACTGTATATGAAGAATTGTTATAAAGATGTAAATAGTGCTTTTATTGAATTCATAGGTGACTAGCACTTAAAGTTTGCAATTCTTATCATTTACTACAATAACAGGATTTAGCGAGCTAAATTAGTTGCGTCATTTCTGCTCGAGGTTTCGTGTCCGTATCTTCATTTTCTTAATTTGTCTTTGTTTTGGTTTTATGCACTTCTGGAGCAAATATAATTTTCTCTTGATCTTCAGGTCCTAATCAATTTGCTCATGTCAACTGTGGAAACTGTCGTACTATGCTGATGTATCCATGTGGAGCTCCATCAGTTAAATGTGCCATATGCCACTATATCACACACGTTAATGTGAGAATCAGTCCCTTTTTTATTTTGTTGGTGAATGTTTTTTGATGGTTTAATGTTTCTGTATGTACGTTTTAGTGGGCCTGAGCGAGAAAAGAGAGAGAGAATAAGAAAGAGGACAGAGAGAAACAGAGAAGTGAGATAGAAAGAGGGGCAGAGGGAAACAGAAGGAAGAAATGAGGAAGTAGAAAGAGAATAAGATACAATTTATATCCTAATCAAACTTTCACGAGTTTTTGAAGTGTCTCCGAAATAAGGGATAAGGCACAAGTACCCCCTTAGACTATGACCGTAATCCCAACGACACACCTTAACTAAACTAAGGTCCTGGACTCATTTTTTTTTTTTGTAATTTTGTACACCTTTGGGCTTACGTGGCACACTCCGTGACTCCACGCAATTGAGGCGCGTGAGAGTTATTTGGATGCCACGTAAGCCAAATAGGTGTACAAAATTACAAAACAAATGGGTTTGGGGGGGGGGGGGGAGGTAATAGGAACTTAGTTTAGTTAAGATGTGTCTCTGAGATTTCGGTCATAGTCTAGGAGGGTACTTGTACTTTTTCCCCCGAAATAATAATAGTCATTTACATATGAAAAGCTGGGAACAAGTCAAAACTCTTTAGACAATTTAAATTTTATCTCTAAAACTCTAACCAAAAGAGAAGAATAAAATTAAATTAGACACGTGATAATATTAAGGGATAAAATAGAGATCTATAGCTATAGTTAAGAGAGCTCATAATTGCTTGAAGGTTTTGAGTTGAATTCTTGCTTGATGCAGACTTTTTGCACCCAAGGGTGTGGCCTAGTAGTCTATGAAGTGGTTGAGAACTTTGATGTCTTGGGTTCAATACTATGTGGAGGGACCAAATAAAACACTAGGTGATTCTTCCCGTCTATTGGACAGAGTTACATGGTACATGTTGTTGGTGAGAGGTGATAGGTATCTGTGGAATTAGTCGAGGTGCATGAAAGTTGGTCAGGACACCACGGTCATAAAAAAAAAACTACATGTTAGAAAGGGGAGACAGGCGAGCGAGATTGTGAAGAGGTAGGGGAGAGGTGAGAAAGAGGTTGAATACATGTTGTATTAGGTCGTATCACGAACACAATTGATACACTTGATTTGTATCAATGAATATAATTGTATAAAAAATTATTGTATTTAGCTACATGTCAGAAGGAGGAGAGAGGGCGAGCGAGATTGGGAGAAGGAGGTGAGCAAGATATGGAAGAGGGGGGGATGAATACATGTTGTATTCATTGTATCAAGATCACGAATACAAATTATCGTAATACCATATTACCATTGACAGAGGATACAGACATGTTTGCCATATTATGTGGAACATTGTTTGGGCGGGGGGGGGGGGGGGATGTGAGTGAGAGAGGGCGGCAGGGAGGAGATAGCTGCGGGATAGAGGAGAGAGAAATTTGCTATAAAACCCTAACTAAAGCTATGAATTATTAATTCTTATTAAATTATAGTTGTGTATAGTGAATGCATATCACATGTTTGCCACATTACATAACTTTCCCTAAAATCTAGCCTTAAAAATCTAAGGAATAATCTATCTAAAAGATGAATATGAAAATAAATGTAAAATAACTCAAAAATCTATAAGAAAATCTCAAAACATACAATAGTTGATCTTTTTTCAATATAGAATCTTTTTCCAGTAGGATATTCCAATATAAAATCCCCCCTCCCCAGGAGAGAGAAAATTTGTCTTTCGAAAGTAGGTTTCTTCTTGGATCCACTCAAAAAGATCAGGATGTATTGCCACCCATCACTAATCATGTAGCATCTTGTGGTGGTTGATCCTTTAAGAAACAACGTGCACGTGCGAGCTATCCGTTTATAATGGTCCGGATTCACATTTGTATTAGGGTCTTACAAAACTTCAACATTGTCTCCAACTTTCTCAGGTTATCAGTCTTTTGTTTTATCATTTACCCTGCTTGAAGAAAAAGAGGGCCAGTTGAAAGGTATAAAATATTATCTAAAAGATCCAAGTATAGTTCAGTTGGTGCCTGGGATAGCTTGCGTGCACCTTGATCAATTCTACTGGAAACATGCTACCTCCCACTAGCACAAGTATCGGGTAACTATGTTTATTGAGGCTTGGATAGATGGGATGAAATCACCTAGTGTTTTTTCTCCTCCGCTGGGATTTGAACCTAAGACCTCATGTTGACATTTTATGACACATGTTAAGGTCTTACATAAAGAAGGGTAGGAAGTGGTTTCTCTGTCAAAATTTGGTCTTTATCGAAGTTATGGTTGGAGAGGAAAATTAAATCCTGTTTGCTGTTTGAGACCCCCTGCTTTTGGGAGTATACTGGGTTTTTGTTGTTGTTGTTTGCTTTTTGAGACCCATAATTTTGAGGTTCGGATACCAGTTACTGCAAAACCAGAGAAATTATACATCTGCTGATTGATTTCGTACTTCTCTTGGCATAAGTTCAGAGGCTATGTCACAGACTCGCAGGAAACTATTTCTGTAAAGCATTACTCATCTAATTCTCCTTGCTATGCTCATCTGTGTTAGAAACCTGTTTGGTTCAGTTACTATTCATCACTTAGGCTATTACCTTTCACATCCTGTTGTGATGATTCATTTTCAGTTTTAATGTGTCCATGTATCTCCATGCAGTCCGTAGATGGAAGAATCCCAGTTCCTGTGCACACCTCTAATAGCGGTGCTACATCCTCCGCAGGACCTGCTTCTTCAACAGTGAGTTCTTAATCTGCTAGACCTTACTATACATTTGCAGCTTGTGAATAACCAACGAGGATTCACTTCTGAAACATTGTTTATCTGTTATAGGCCACGGGCCGTTCACAGAACCAAACCGTGGTTGTTCAGAACCCTATGTCTTTAGATGAAAGTGGCAAGTTGGTGAGTTTCTTTAATTTCAACCTCTGTTTCTTCTATTTATCTTTTACTGTTCACATCTGATTCATTTCTTTCTTGTGCTTTATTAGAGGTAAGTATTTCTGACACACAATTTTACATCTGCTAGGTGAGCAATGTTGTTGTTGGTGTGACAACGACGACTTAGGAATTATCTGTAAGGATTAAGATTCCTATGTCTGTGAAATGCACCTAACTGAAGGCAGTAAGGTTTTTGCTTGCTTCCATTGGATCGATGAATATAAATGTGGTGCTATATAGATATGGTAATATTTAGTCCTATAGTATTAAAGCATTTCTAGATTGAAGAAGTGTACCAAAGGTCTGACCATTTGTGGTAACATTGCCAAAGTGATTGAACATTTAGGCTTTAGTAATGTTGATTTTCTGGAGTCAGTAAATGTTGCCAAATTAGATTCTGTGGTGTGAATACGCCTGATGATCCAAGTACAGAATGTTGATATGTACCATTTGTCCTGATGTCAATAAAATTTAATCAACTTGGTGGGTGTGATCTTGACGTAACTGCTCTTGCGACTACTTTTGAAAATAGAATGTCTTGGAGATGTGTGTAACTTTAGATAGTTGGGAATGAATCATCTATTCTTTTTTTCCCTCTACTTTGATTCAATCCCTCGTTTGATATAGTTTTTGTTTCAGGCTTCCTCAGGGGCGGGTCGATAGCCTTATAAAAAAAGGCACCTTTAAGCCCTCAAATTTGAAGTGTCTCATTTTCTTTTAGCGATAATAGATTATAGATAAAAAAAATATTGAGCAAGTACTATTTATAACTAAGATTATTTTTTGGAAAAATTATTTGGATGTGTATCTTTTAATAAATAATTACTGATTTTAGCGATACTTTTTATTTATTACCATTTAGAGCAATACTATGATAAATCTGCAATATGTATTAAAAGTGATTATGCATGCAATTGTAACTGTTTTAAAATATATTATGCTTGTTTGATAAGAAATTGACACATTGTGTTAAAATGTGTGATAAGTGTATTATCCATCAATAAAATTTGTATTATATGTGTTTTATAAATCGTTCTTTGTAATAAGTATTAAAAGTGATCAAGTGAAAAAAAAATGTTATTGTTATAAATGGTAACTATTTTCTTAATATAGGATATTTATGTAAGTCTGCCTTTTTTCATATAAAAGGAGAGAATTATTAGAAGAAGTTTAACATATTTGGAGTAAAGATTACTATTAAAAGAAATCAATTGTAATTTATTTTTTTAACAATTATGCATCTCAAAGAGCAGGACAAAATTCATAAGCAAATATATTGATTTATTTTTTATAGTTTAAGCCTTAGGTCATGTGCTTGAGCCCCCCCCCCCCCCCCCCCAACCCCACCTCGAGCTTCGTGGATTATTCGGCTACATTGATGAGTGTTTGGTTGATGTTTGTTAATCTCTTTCGCTTTTTTTTATTTTTTTTGGCAAGTTCTCCCATTTATTATTTTTGAAGTCTTTTATTATTGTTTTTTGTCTCGACCTTTCTTTATTGACATCATCATATGCTAATTATATTTTTGAGCTAAAAACTTTACTAGTTTTTAGTGTTTTCTATAGCTTTAAACGACTTATACTCATCAATTGTTCAATTATTATGAAACTCTTTTTAATTTGTCTTTTCACTATAAAGAATAAGGCTGTGCCGCCTTTAAATTTGTATCAATATTTGGAAGTCTAAGAATAAGGGACAAGGGGATTGATCAACAAATATCTTTTGTTCTTTTTCTATGTAAGATCTCCATTAAAATAAGGTATGCTACAAGTGAATATTGCAACAAGAAATGAATTTGAATTAATCCGGATATGCATGATCGAAAGATGGGGCAACTCTGTCTTCGCCTTTACTCGTGCACTCGTTTAAGATAGGATGAAAGATATACCGTGTTAATTTTATATAGTGTTGTTCATGGTATGATTTGGTCGATTATTTTATAAAATCTATATCTTACAATTTTTTGATTATTTTATTTTCTATAATTAAAATTAGAATTTTTGAAATTGTTTTGTCTCGATTTCTCTTTAGTATTGGTACGATTTGATAAATCTGTGGTATTTTTAAATTAAAAAGTAAGGTAAGAGTCGCAAGTAAGAATTAGGACATAATATCATTGTATACTTCTGTTTGGCCATGCTGTATGGAATCATGATATGGATTCATGATATAATATCATAATATGAAATCATGAGATGAAAATGAAGGTTTGTTTGGATATGCGATATGAAATTTGTGTGTTGTATATATTCTCATAAACATAAGAATCCTATAAGTTGTAAAACTATTAAAATAGCCCCAATTGTTTATTCAATCTTGCCAGATAAACAAAAATTTATAAATCGCACAATAAGTTATTACAAAGCTATTTGTTCTCCATTTAAGTAACTGTTTTGTCTAATTTTAATTGATCAAACTTTAATCAATAAAAAAAAATTGAACATAAAATTGTAGTGTACTAGTTTTTATATATAGTACGGACAATCTCCTCACGTTGAACTTGCATTTCTCGATCATATGACCAAGAAGACGAACCAATATTATTACTTTGAGCCATTTGTTGGTCAAAATCATCTGCAACTGTATTTTCATGCTCATAGACCATAAATATTTCATCACTTCTTTGGTATTCTCGCAAATAATCATGTGACACTGTACAAGCTTTGACAATTTTCACTTGTGTGTCAATATCATAGTGGTTCATGCGTTGTTTTACTTGTGTGCAATTACACATTTTCAGTGCATTATTCGTGCTAAAATCAAACATACTGGAAGTAATAATTATCAAACATACATCAACGATTTTGTCCTTTTTCATATTAAATTGTTTTAAACATTTTCATATGTAGCCGAAAAATAAGTTTTCTGTTATCATGAAAAAATAAAAAATTACTCCCTTGGTTCTTATTTGTATTCACCAAATCAATTCCTACTTTATCATTTATATTCACCAAATTTAAAGTGATAATGAATTTTATGTTGGTGAGAATAATAAATTTTAAAAAGTAATGATGTGATTATAAATTTTATTTACATATGAAATAAATGGTTAGTAGATATAATGTGGGGTTGTTTTAACGAAATATAAACTTGTGAGTCAATTTTTGTATTTAAAAAATCTCAAATCATGATATGGAATCTCAAATCATGATTTTTGGAGAATATGAGATTCTATCTCATGATACGAAATCATGAGATGGAATCATCATAAAATCGCATGTCCAAACGCTGATTCCATCTCACAATTTCATATTGTGATATGATATCGCATGCCAAATGCCTACTTAGGATATTGGCAAAATTCTCTAGACATTTAACTATTTATAAAGTGAGAATCAAGAGAATAAATATGACAAGAATAGAGATGCATCATCACTATTTTAATGTCATGTAAACAAAGTTAACCAATAAATAAATAAAAATTACACGAATAGAAAAATAAATCAAGATGGAACTCGAGAAGTAAGTATGTGAAAGATAAGTATTCAATAACATAAATTAATATCTGTAACACCCCAAAAATTTCTAAGTTAAGCCCAAATCATTCTTGAATTGTGTATAAGGTCGTATTGAGTGGCTCTTAATTTTTCTTAGGTGTTAAGGTAATTTTTTAGTGTGAGAATGACTTTGGATATCAATTAAGGTCACTAGAAACTCATAGCACAAAGTAGAGTTGAAAGTTTCCTTACCGATTAAGTTTTGACATAAGCTTTTACTTAGATCAAATTAAAAAGACCATATCTCTTACAATATAAAGAGTTACATGGCTCATAACTGATCAAATTCAAGATATTTGAATACTCTTTCCAACACCACCAATTTCGCGCCAATCCAATTTTTGAGTAAAAAGTTATGAACATTTTAGTAACTGGTGTAGTGCAGTTTCGTTTTAGCCGCGGGAAAATTCTAAATAAGGTAATTTTCTTCTCCTTATATCACTTGGAAAACCTTAAAAAATGATTTCTTAACTCCTATAAAGCCCTAAACAAGCCTATTTCCATCTTTTAATCCATCATTGTCTTCTAGGGGTGGGCATAAATATCGAAAAACCAAAAAATCGAACCGAACCGAAAAAATTCGGTTCTTCGGTGTTTCGGTTCGGTGTCGGTTTTTTTTTTTCGGTTCTTCGGTTCGGAGTTCGGTGTAAGGGTCCCGAAACTACAGTGCACCGAAGAACCGAAGTTTTATTAAATAAATTTAAAAGTATTTATTATATTACTTAATTTTTAACTTTACTTGGCCCATTTCAATTTTTATATTTAGATCCTAAACTTAAATAGCAAAAATCTTAATAACAAAATAGTAAACCCTAAAGACCTAAAGTCTAAACTAAACAAAACTCAATTTAATTCAAGTTTGAGCAGCAACTTGGTGTTTCTACTTTCTACTTTTTTTTATCATTTTATGTTGTTACTTTGAAGTGAGAACAACAAATTGATGTTCTTACCTTTTATTGTTAGACGGTTAGTTGTTACTTTGAAGTTTGAAGTGTGAAGTGAATAACAATTGTTACTTTATTATATTCTCTCTTTATTTTTGTTGACACCGAAAAACTGATTTTAAAACACCGAAGTAGAAAAAATCGAACCGAACCGATCTAGTTTGGTTTGAAATATGGTGCACACTTTTCTAAAATCGAATACTGAAGAACCGAACCAAAATTTGATTAAACCGAACCGAACGCCCACCCCTAAATGTCTTCTCTCTCAAACCCTAAGGCAAAACACTAAAGAAAAATCAAAGTAAAAGACTCCATTCAAGATTCTTTCCATCTTTTTCAAGATTCTTCTTCAAGGTAAGTTTTTCTCCAAGAATTCCATTATTTCCAACTCAAATTCCTCCATACAGTTATGAATCACTAATGAAAATCATAAGTCTTGGCAATAGAGATTTCAAGAAACTAATTCAAAAATTTCAAGAAATGTTTTCTTGATTGTTTACCTTCAAGGTAGGGTTTCAAGTCTTCTAATTAAGTTCTTCTTCAAGAAACTTGTTCTTTCAGGTACAAAAGACTATCATAGTGTTGGACTAGTTCTTCATCATGCCCTACATCTACTTTCAAATCAGTAAAAGAGAAATCTAGGATTCTACCCCTAGATTTGAGTATTCTTGAGATAAGTTGATTTTGAGTTTTTGAATTCCTGATTCTTTTGAAATTCTATTCCTAAGTATTGAGTTTCTATATTTTTATTGAGATTCTTGAGTTGAATTGTTCATGTCTATAATTCCGCATGAACCCTTTGAATTGAGTTATAAGTCTTGAGAGTCTTTGAAGGCCAATCATTGTGTTTCAAACTGAGTTTTGAGAAAAAGCTTAAAGGTTCTATTTCATAAAGACTTAAGAGTTTCTAATATTTTATTCATATATATATATATGTGTGTGTGTGTGTGTACCTATGTTAATTATTGGACTTGAAAGATAAGTTCATAAGTGTATGTTTTCAAGAAGGTAAACATGTCTCATGTTTTTGAAAAGTATTTCAAGTAATGTAAGAAGTCCATTCTTTGTAATGGGTGAATTGAGCACAAAGTTATATTATTTATTTTGGGAGTAGTATTGAGCACCGAGTTGGGTTAATGTCTTTTATGATTCGAAAGTGTAACAACCCGAAAATCTAGTAAGACCAAGCTAGAGTCTAATGGAAACTAGTAGGTGAAACTAGAGCCTAACGTGTGAGCTTTTGAGTTTGATGTTTGATTTTAGGTTGTATATTTAGTTCTCGAGCTTAGGTTGAGAAGTCTAGGGGTTAAACGTCAAAGTACAACCCTCCAAAGACCAACCAAGGTTCCTTGGGGAGGACCCTAAAGTCTAACCCCCAAGGCTGCCTAAGTTCACCAAAGTTGCCAGAATCTTGTGATCTACGGATGCAATCCACGGCTCGTGGTCTTGTCCATAGGTCAAGGCCACCAAGTCCATGCTGTATACCCAAACCACAAACCCACAATACGAGGAGTGGTCCCATCCACGGTCCGTGGATGGGGTCTCGTGGGTTGCACCTGTAAGTTGTCCAAACATCTCGACCAAGGTAATAATTTCCAACTAATTCCTTTTTAATTAGTTTCCATTAGGGGTCGTTTATTATGGTAATTATACATGTATATAAAGTATTTTAAGTCCATAAACACCTCATTAATTTATTATAACCCAAGACCCTAAATCAAAACCCAACTACTTTCCTCTCTAAGAATCTTCTCTCTAGAACCTCCATTGAAGAACAAAGAAAAAGATCAAGGAAAGCTTGAAGGAAGGAGCTTTTCAATACGAATTTGGAAGGATTCTACACCTAAGGTATAGGAGTTCTTCATCCTCGAGAAGCTATCACCCAATGAGCCCTTTCAAAAGCTTTTAACTCAATTCTAGAAAACTCAATTAGCTAGGGTTTCAACTCAACTCCATGGATTCCTTTTAAAGTTGCTTTTAAAGGTTGAATGACGTTTGTTTATGAATGTATGATTGATTTTATATGGACTTTAACTCGAAATCCTTCAAGAATCTATGAGACCCCCAACCCTAGTTATGGTTTTTCTTTACATTATGTGATGGTTTTGCAAGTTGGTCCAATTGATTGGATGTGAGTTAATTATGATGTAATTACATGATCTAAGTATTATATTACATGTATACTTGATTAACCTAGGATTTCTAGGGTGAATTTATAAAGTCTAGGGTTGTGCCATGAAAGAGACTAGTTGAGGGTTTAAAGGTAATCCTCCAAGAATGATGAATTTCTTCATGTAATGCCTTAAATTAGATCACCTAGACTTGAATTGGTTTTGGGTAATGCTTCTAAACATAAATTGACTTGATCATGATACTATATGCATGTTTATGAATATTTGGAGTATAAAGTGCCAATCATGATGTGACTAAGGTATTGATGAGTTGTTGGATCATGGTATTCCCTTATCTAATGTGCTATTGCTATATGTTTGGGATGAGTTGGTCCATAGCCCTTGAAGGGCATATTATGAAGGTTTGTGCATGTTGACAAGATTGTGTGTGAAGTTATGATTTATTTAGAAAGTGAAGGTCCTATGACTATTGTGTATATTGTGGTATTGTTGAAAGACCATTCTTCCCTTACCCTTTCACTTGATATTGTATGAATTGTCTAGGATGATGATAATGTTGTTGTTGTGTCATTGCAAGGACAATTACACACACTCTCCATGCATAAACATGATTATGATGTATCAATGGTGTTACTTGAAAGTATAATTCTCATATGCACCTTTACATATTATTATGCATGAAATGTACATGACCATGATGATCCTATTGTGTTGATTGAAAGTCCATTCTCATGAGAACACATGATCTTGGTGTAAAAGTTGTTCTCACATACTAATTATGATTCTAAAGTTGAAAGTACATTCTCACTTTAATGAATCTATGAGCTATTTTGATGAATTGTATTGAATGAAAGGTAGAGCACTCCTTCACACATGTAAATACAATTCAAGACTAATGATGTCTAAATTGGGAAATAATACTTAGTACCGATTGGATATGGAAATTGAGGTAAAAGCCCTTCCGCCAATGCAAGAGGTTGGGTCATCTAAAGTAAAATCATGAGATGGAAACTCCTCCGCCAATGCAATAGGTCAGGTTTCTAGAAGCAATCTCCCTGTCACATAGTTATGTGCCAACATAGGACTTAGCTAGTGGATCCACCTTATAGCTATACATTTAGTTCTACCTTAGGCAAGTAGGACACCTTCTTTCGGTGTGGGGTTACACGACACCAGATTCCGTGTAGCTCACATGGTCTATGTCGGTTATGACTATTTTTCCCTATATAATAAAGATAATGAATGAGACATGAATGATACTATGACTTCTTGGTGAGTTTTTACTTAGTAGGAGTGGGGGTGTTGACATCCAATTTTGGACCTCTATAATATAAATTAATCATCGAGCCTCTTAAATTCCGAACGATTTGAAATAATTGACTTTATAAAATTCAAAATATTTTCAAGTAAGTTTTATGTAATTTTGTCATTTTTTGGAACTTTTAATATATATATATATATATATTATATTATTAATTAGCATATTTTATAAATATTCGAAAATCATCTAAAAAAGAATTTGTTTTAATTAAATATTTGGTTAATTAGTTTAGTTATATAATAGTTTATATTTTTAAATCATTCGATTTATAATTAAGTTAATTATTTAATTTCGTTAAGTTTAAGAAGCTCCTTAATTAATCTTATTTAAATTCATCTTAGATTTTAGCCGAATTTGCAAATTAAATTCAATTCGGCTATATTGTGAATTCTATATGGCTATAATTGCAATTCATTTAGCCATTTTGTATTTGCAAATCTAACCCTTTCTATTATAAATTTTCACTACCATTCTGCCCCACCCTTAAACCCATTTGAAACTAAATTTTGGGCCAAAATTCATTCCCCACACCAGCCCAACTTCGATTAGCCCAACCTCAATTCATTAATCACAACAGCATACCAAATCCAGCCATTCCTATACATTTGTAGCGACCCTAAAATTGAACTAGTGAAACTAGAGCCTAATGTGTGTGCGTTTGTGGCTGTCATGAGGTTTAATGGTGTTTGATATTGCCCCGAGTCATGGTTGAGGGGTTTAGGGGTCAAATGCCAAGGTACGACTCCCCCAAGTACCACCCTAAGGGTCCTTGAGGAGGACCCCGAGTCTAACCCCCAAGACCCCTTGAAACTAGAAAGTTGGCCAAAAGGGGGTGACCTACGGAAGGGGTCCACGCCCCGTGGATGGCCTCCGTAGGTCAAGACCCCAAATGAGGGTCTCTGATCCAAACCACGAAGGGACAATATGGTCCCTTCAATCCATCCACGGTCCGTGGATGGTGACTCGTGGATTAGACCTGCAATCTAGTTTTTTGGCTTGGCCAAGTGAGAGGTGAATTGTTAAATTCACCCCAAGTCTTTTAAAGTTCATGGACGATTATTTTAAGTGTATTAAGGTATTTTAAGAGTATTAAAACATTAATATACTATTTTTAGATTCATTATTCATATTTCCCCAAATCAAAACCCTTCCCTCATAAAAAGTTCTCTCTAGAAACTCCATTGGAGATCAAGGTCAAGTTCAAGCTAGAGTTGGGGATTTCAAGGTGTTTCTTCTTCAATTTCGTGGGATTTTTCAAGTATAAGGTATGGTGATCCTTCATCTAGGGTTAATTTTCACCCTAGAGTCAATTTCAAAAATGTTTTCAAGGTTTTCAAGTTTCACAAAAACCCCAAGTTTCACTCAATCTCATAGGTTCTTGCATCAAATGTTTTCAAATGATAAATTATGATTACGTTGATGTTTAATTGATGATTTAAGATGAAAATACTCTATGAACCCATGATTTCTCTCAATTCCTAAATTTGGCCTTATGAAGTGGGTATATTGATTATGAATGAATAATGGTGGATTTATGCTTAGATTGATTTAGATTATTGAATTTTATCATCATCTATAACTAATTGTGGTGAATTGTTGGTGAATTGAGGATTTGTGATCATAGCCTTGAAAGTGCAAGTTTGACCTATTTACTTGTTACAGTAGAATTGTATTAGAGATGTTGATCCACTTGAAAGGCGGAGGTGTGTAATTGTTTTGTATGTGGTGATCATGGCCTTGAAGGCATAGTGTGAGGAATTGAAGTGTTATTATGATGGTGTATATATGAATGTGATATGATACATGTGTGTGTTCTAAATGAATGAGTGATGATCATGTCTAGAAGCTAATTGTGTTAGGATTGAATGTTATCTCTCTATTAACACTTTTGAATGATGATGATTATGTGAAAAGCTATTTTCATATACACACTTGTATAAATAATGAATGAGGTTCAATGATAATGTTAATGATGAAGTACTTATTGAAAATTTATTCTCAATTGTACTCTAATGAATGATAATGATGTGTTGATTGAAAGGATATTCTTGATCTTACACTAATGAACAATAATGGGATTATTAGATGAAAGGTT